ACTTGAAATCGTTATGACAAGTATTACAGAGTTAAATCTCAAGTGTACCTCCACACAAAAACATTTGGTCGAAGATGCCCCGTAAAGTACTTATGCTACTTGTATGGAAACATCTCCCGACCGATACACACGGCGCCGCTCGGGTAAATCTCCCGTCGCTCGCACTTTGGAGCGATGCCAATCGCCCGTCGCTTGTGCACATTGCAAGAGCGACTGCATCGCGCGATGCAATCGCAGAGTCTGACCGACATCTAACTGCCCCTTGGACTAAGCCTTAGAGGAGCAGACGAACAGAGCGCCGCGCCGCTGCGTAGTCCCCCCCCCCCAACTAAGTTAGCACCCAATTTACCTATGAATTAGTACTACCCTAATTCCCTCCGCCAGCACTGTTACTTACAAACGCATGACGCTTGAAGCATTAAATAAAAAATATGTTAACCAATCCCCACATCGACTGAATAACCTTTCAGTTACATATAGAACACGTGAAATAAACGAAAATTTTCGACTAAAGGATCATAACATAACTCTGTCACATCAACTTCATATTGATACCTGTACAGATGGCAATACCACTGCTTTTCTGCTTGACCATCATTCCATTATCGATCTGTATTTCATAATATGATACCCGCGACGAAAGGCTTTCACCAATAAAAACTTCATTGAGAGCAAGAACTGGTAACTGTATCGTAACTCTCTCAGGTGGTGAATGTAAACGCTTCCTGTAACAAAAACGAAAAACGTTCAGAAGAAATGATTATGCACTGCACCACATTATGCCTTACTTTGCTTTTTGCACGCTATACAAAACTTCTTCCTTGGCAGGACTCGCTGCTTGAGTGGCATGGTATACGGAAGACGATGCTGTTATGTGACTGTCCATCCATCGCGTGGTGGCCGGCATGCGATTCAATTGTTGATCGTGAAGTTCAATTGAATCGCCGACACCAGCTTGTCTATCTCCACTCAGAGTTATTCGAAGACGCTGACGATAAAGCCACCTAGGAAAAGATCATTAACCTATGGTAAAGAAAGTTAATAATTAGAGTAAAGAAGTTAATAACAACGCTTGATTTGATTCTTCAAGATAGTTTCCCATAATAAACCAGGGAATGCGGTTCAAAAACTTACTGGAAATCCCCGTCGAGCAATCGCTGCAGAGCCGATCGAAAATGTTCCTTAGGTAATTTTCGCATTAGGCACATATATCCTTCTGATCTCAAAAGGACAATGAAATACCTCAAAGAAGGCACTGAATAGAGAAGAAATTAGACACCCTTGAGGATCGGTGTTGACGCTATGACAGTTGATCTCTCTGAGAATGCGTTGAGTGCAGCAAGCAAAAACGTTCCATCACCACCAGCGGTCATCACAGCGTCTGCCCATTTGATGGCTTCTTCTGTGTAGTCGAATCTTTGAACAACTCTAGATTCCACACCAGCTCGCCTAAAGATCCATACACAAACTATGGTAATAACACTCTGAAGCTGTTTTAACACTCATACTCTACGACGAGTTTAGGTTACTGAATTGATGACGACACAAAAAAAAATCATGATTTGAATTCAGTTACACCCCAATGCCAGCGTATGGTAATCAATGACGATCAGGATGCTACATGGTCCCGCCATCAATTGGCTTTGTGCTCACTATTTTAAATAGCTCTTCTTACACTTCTTCAACGGAATTGCATTCACTTTATTGGTCTTTTAATGTATCTCTACCCTTTGGAAGTAACACGACAGTTAAGTGTTCGCGATAACGAGACCTGCACCATGAAAATACCCCAAAAAAACCCAGCGAGTAACATCGCACATATCGAACATGAACATTCATGATGTTGATTCCTGGAGGCAGCTATCCAATATCAACAAGTATATGAACATACTCAAGCTCTGACTGGATTGTTTGCAGATACGCTTGATGAATTTGATGCTTCCTTATTAATTGATTATAATCCGATCCACGTCGTTTCAACTAAAAAAATAAAGCTCAAAACCGAGTACGGAGAATTAGAAAAAAGAAGATGAGCTTGCCAATGCTTCGAGTTTTCTGTCATCTTCCTCACCAGCCGACTCGTTTCTCGAATTCGTATCGTGTAATTTTACTCAAGATGAGGACCTTTTTTGGACGAAACGATGGTTCCTAGAAATTCCTATGAAATGTGACTCCAAAAAATACTTTAAATGAAAAATCAAACCGTAGCTGTATGTAAATATTGAACTCAAATGTGTCAACCACTCTTGTAAATGAAATAGAAATAAATCGAAAACAATAAACGAAGTTCGCACACCTCCATTGCCAATCCTGAACTCGTTCTACGACTCATAGCGGCATAAGGCACCGGATGGCGATAGAGTGCCGCTGCTAGTGACTGTGGCAGCAAACGCATACGATGCGCGAACAACGCGTCGCCCCACCACCGATTTTTTCCTAATTGTCTAATGAGAGACTCCACGGGTGCACGCGAATACTAAAAATTGAAGGATTAAAACTATCGAATACTATAACAACGCACCCTCTATAAAAGGTGTGTTTCAGCAGCTTAGGCTGGTGTCAGAGTCCGCGATTTTTTGCGCGATTTTCGCGATTTTCGCGATTTGCGCGATTTGCGCGATTTGCGATTTGCGCGATTTTCGCGATTGTCGCGATTTTCGCGATTGTCGCGATTTGCGCGATTTTCGCGATTTGCGCGACGGGTCACGGAAATTACAAGTGCCCCATCCATACTGCAAGGTGTTCTCCAATCCCGCCGTCACTTCTGCTTGATGGTTATGGTTTAATGGAGACTGCTCATGATTCCACTTGTTTCATATCCAGTGTTTCAATTGTTCAAATGGGGCACTTGCAATTTTTGTGATTGGTTTGGTTTGATTCCTGAAAAAAAAAGGAACGATTCAAGAGCATTTCAATGAACTAATAGACATTGAACATGAAACAAGTAGAACCACAAACATTCGTCTTCCAATCTTTACTGCCAAGCAGAATTCGCAGCAGGATTAAACAACACCTCGCAGTATTCATCGGGCACTTCCAACTCCTGTGATCCATCGCAGGTTTCGCGAAAATCGCAAAAATCGCGCAAATCGCGAAAATCGCGAAAATCGCGCAAATCGCGAAAATCGCGAAAATCGCGAAATCGCGAAAATCGCGAAAATCGCGCAAATCGAAATCGCGGACTCTGACACCAGCCTAAGCATAACAGTCACTTACTCTGACAAAAGCAAAAAGCCGAATTATATACCCTGTTTTCAGAAAACAGAGCAGTCGAGTGCAGACCACACACCACAAGTGACGACGACCTCCATAAAATGTAAACGTTAGCTGCCAATCAAATAATTAGCCCGTTGTAGTCTTATTCCGTCAGTTGTTACTATTTACAACTCCTCTTCACCAACTATTAACTGTCACGATGAAACACTAGTTACAAGATCTACTTGGGGGTCATCCTCACTTGTGGTGTGCGGTCTGCACTGACGCACTCCTGGTTTTCTGAAACAGAAGGAACCATCTAAGGCCGACGTCATACTTTGCGAATCGAGCGAATCGCTAGCGAATCGCTCGAGTCGAGCGAATCGCTAGCGAATCGCTCGAATCGCTAGCGAATCGCTCGAATCGCTAGCGAATCGCTCGAATCGCTAGCGAATCGAGCGAATCGCTAGCGAATCGCTCGAGTCGAGCGAATCGCTAGCGAATCGAACGATGCACCAGCGATTCGAACTAGGTGCCAGCGAATCGAACTAGGTACCAGCGAATCTTGCATAAAGCTTGAAACTAGGGTGTTAGGCACAGCAAAATTTCGGCAATGCTATGCAGTTTTGAGGGGGTTATTGGATCAGCAGATTCGATATTGCTGCGGCAATGCTATCTCACGAAGAGCAGCAGTATCGCCTTAAAACTTATCCAATACGAGTCATAGCGGTTATCATTACGAATATAACTTCATTTTTGGAGTCGTTACCATCACAATTCGATGGAAAAAGCTGTTTCGCGAAATCCGCAGCGGCGTCACGTCACGTGGTGGCTTTTTACTACTTGCTCCTTCTCCCGCTAGGGTCGTAATAATGTAGTATTGTAAAGGACTACACATGAACTGGTCTAATGGTCTGTCTAAATTTTGATAAAAAGCGCTTTTTCAACCATGACTAATAATAAGATCGTGTATAGGGGTTATAGCCGCCTTCGGGGTTCTACAGAAGTTGGTCGGGTCTGTAGATAGTTGCATGTGTGCTCAAGAACTGGATGATGAAGGAAAATGAATAGTACTTTGGGCTCGTTCTTGGCTGCCTGCCCAATCTGTTAGGGAAGACTTCGTGTAGGGTATCAACAAGAGCTGAAATAGATGAATCATTAGAGCTTAGCCTTAGTAATGCAAACTATTTAGATGTTAGCGAGTGATTTGTAAAAATTCGTATTGTTTGAGGTTGTCCGCTTTACAGCAGTGTTCTTAGCTTGTACTTTTGTTATGAGAAATGTAATTTGATCTAAAAGTGTTTCTGCTGATAATTCATTTACAATATTGAAGTGTGATTCTACAGCTCAGATGAGTACGAAAAGAGGATCCTTGTAAGTTTTGCTCTGGAACTACAAACTCTAGTCGGTTATCACCTGCATGGACTTGGTAGTACAGTCGATATCCGGAAGTTGGGGCAGACGTGTCACCGGAAGTGACGTGCACTTGATAGAGTTGCGTGGATAAGCTGTTGCCAGCATGCTTTGCTGATATCCAGCGATGTATGTTGGAAGCAGCTTATCCACATAGCTTCTATCAAGTGCACGTCACTTCCGGTGACACGCCTACCCCCACTCTCAGATATCGGGTATAATAGTGTAGTATACGATAGATCCTCTAGACCCATACTCGCTAACGGATTAATGTGATCATGTATTTGTCTTACTAACAGAATGCGATCAAAACTGACTACTGCCGATCTCTCCAAGTATATGACCAGCCTTCATTAAAATTGTTGGCATTTTCGGACAGGATCCATTTTAGAATTATTATTTTCCGGACCTCAGTCAACGTATCGATCGAGAGGGGCGCGCCAGCCACAACGGGAGTGATCGCGCCCATCGCGCGATTGGAGCGATTGGTCATGATGGGACTCATGTCAATCGCGCGATCGTCGCGCGAATCGCGCGATGGTCGCGCGATTGGCATTTGACCGATCGCTCCAATCGCAGAGTCTGACATCGGCCAATCCCTCTCCCCTCGCTAGTGCGACTACTTGGCGAGCGTACGTAGCAACATTCGTATGGTAATAAGCTATACGAAGTTATAAGTGATTATAGTTGCGATCAGTCCCCACAATAGCTGTAAAAGTTTGAACTGTGTGAAATGGACGGTTTCCATTCAGAGGGGATGTCAGAAGGAAAACTGAGAATGTTCATGGAAGGTCTCATTAATGCAAACACAGAGAGAACATTGTAAGTTTTAAGCGTTGAACGAGTTGGCACTCGAGCGAAAAAAAAAGACGGTAGGCTAATTTGGGCATTTTTCGCTAGGAAAGGACGGTTTGCTCATGATACGCAGTGTGAGTTTCTGAACTACATGATAGGAACCTGAACTTGGCCGTCAAGTTTCTATTTTTTGGCGCAGATACTTGAAGGCAAACATTTCCGAGATGCCCCTCATCATATGAAAAAGTCCTTATCAGTGAGCTTTCCTGTATCCTCTATCAATTAAGATCAATCAAAGACGCCGATGTACAAAGATTACTGCCGCGGCACTGTAGTCCATTTGAATTTGAATGAAGCCCAACGGTGTTAGATATTGACTGACATGATCGAATAATTTAATTACTCTTTGTCCGGCGGCAACCACACACTCACTCAAAACCTAGCCTAACACCCTAGTTTTCAAGCTTTATGCAAGATTCGCTGGTACCTAGTTCGATTCGCTGGTACCCAGTTCGAATCGCTGGTGCATCGTTCGATTCGCTAGCGATTCGCTCGACTCGAGCGATTCGCTAGCGATTCGCTCGATTCGCTAGCGATTCGAGCGATTCGCTAGCTTCGCTCGACTCGAGCGATTCGCTAGCGATTCGCTCGATTCGCAAAGTATGACGTCGGCCTAATTTGTCTGTTAACTTAAGAAAAGTCATAAGCCTAACAAGGGCAGGTCTTAACAGTTTTCACTTTCCAATCCTCGGTTGCGGAGCAGACCCTTCACATGAAATTAAATATCATTTAAAATATCTAAATACATTTCGGTGGTAATTTAGTGTCCTTGTAATATGCTTTCATACAGCTAGCACCATGTGTACAATTTTGTGTGATTTTGGTGCAAGACCTGTTCTCACAAATCCGCTGTAAACTTGCATATAGGAGTTACTCAGTGTTCTATTCACGAATAAGACATCCATTTTGGCGCCAAGAACGAATTTCTTGTGTACACATCACTCCTGTAAACCGTGGGGCCAATAATTCAGTGTGAAGCTCAGACTGGGAGCTCTCATACTGCCGCACTACTAAGCATCTCTGCTATCGTTATTTCCTTTGAAAACCTTAGTCCTAATACCACACAGAGCATGTGCTTTTCCATCTCACTCTCCTCGTTTTTTTTAAGTAAATCTTGACCATGTGAAATTTGGATCGTAGATTGAATTCTCTTGAAGCTCTTCCACTCTTACACTTTATTGGCAAGCTTTCGGCAATAATGCCATCATCAGACCAATCTTAAAATTACAATACTTGCGACTGATCAACTGTTCTTATACAATAAACACGATACATCGACATACCAGCGATAAGGGAGTACGGAGGGGACCTATGAGGGTCGGGGAACGAGTGAAAAATGAGACATCATCCCCGAGGGAAGGACTTCATGGATTACGTAAGAAGTCTCAAAAGGTCACGTAGCTCTTCCTTTTTATTAATTTCTGGCCTGGTTCGATGTATTTCCCGCGCTTCCATGATCTTTCTTTCCAGTGGCCGTACCAAATGTGAAATTTGTGATCAGCACACCAAAATACATCTACAGGCAAAAATTTACCAGAAATTTTTTTACCCTTTTGGGAACCATTGGTGCAGAGTGGGGGTATGTAACGTGGAGCAGTACTGAAAAACCAATTTCTAACTGACATAGTCGGTCGTCCGACAACGATCGTAACTGGTCGCACAGCGTTAGATACGTATCGATCGTCAAATACTCAGGCAAGTCTAACGATCGATACGCATCTAATGCTGTGCGACAGTTACGATCGTTGCTGTCGGACGACCGACTATGCGTGCGCCACCCAAGGAACAAGTAACAAAGAATACTAGGAAATATCGTTGTCCTCAAATGGGACCTTTAGCTCGCCTTATTGAAGCCAGAAAACCATAATGGCATTTTAAATATTGGAAGGTGCTTATAGACTCACGAAATCCATGACGATGAATGATAATCCATTCACTCAGAATGGCTGTGGTCACACTTGCTGACTCAAAAGCATCGAGATGTACATGTCGCTGAGCAACTCGAAAGAAGTGAGGAAAGCGAGAACGAGCTTGCAGAGAGAAGGCGTGAAGATAGATTGAAGGGCGATCTGCACGTGAAAGACTAATTCTCAGTCACATGCGAACCCTCGCCGTTCTTCCCCTGTGATTACTATCACACTTGTTGCCGTTTTTTCAAGATTTTTCAGCCTCTTCACCGCTACATGCACAACACGCGACAGCTTGCAGACTGCAGCCTTCAGACAGGTGTCGAACATTGCGACCAACCTTTCTTTTTTCATTTTTCATTTAGTGTGATACAGACCAATAACCCCCCCCCCATGGAACCCCGATACGACCCCCTGTCACCCTCGCCGCCGCCCTCACCAGCACAGCTGTTTCTACAGTATAGAGATCAGTCTACACATCCCAACTCCGCACAGCTGTTTCTACAGTATAGAGATCAGTCTACACACCCCAACTCCGCCCACTTTTCCCTCATTTTTCTCCAAAATGGTATTGGAGAGGCGCAATGGGGTGTAGATGTCTCAAGAAATGGCGAAGCTCCAGTTTTCCTTATTTCACGGATTTTCGTGGATTGCCAGAAAAGACGTTTAAAACAACTTCTATGCCCCACGTCCTTTTCAACCTCCAAAAATACGACCTTCTTTCGGCCTTTGACCTTCGAACCCCAATTATGATCACACACCTCTCGCAAAATCGCTAATACGACCTCTGTCTGAATCGGCCTGACGGATAGAGGACCCGATTTTGTAGCAAAATTAAGTTTTAGCTTGTATGCTGAGTTCTACACGACCTGGCACTCGACCATAGCCAAAATGTCGCTTATTCACAACATGTGACGATGGAATGCGGCGGGTTTTTTTTTATCGAGCTATCAGTGGAGATATCCAGCATCTATCGAATCTGTGCGTTTAATCCCACAGCAGCTGACGACTAATTGACCCCCTCCCCCACCTTATAGTCTTCCGTAGGGTGGCTAGCTAGTTGAATCTGGTTCTCCCGTTTCTAAAAAGACTCACTTCTCGGAAATCTTATCTCCCAAAGAAATTAAGTTCTTGGGACTTTCTCGCGCTAACTGTG